CTATCTATCTATCTATCTATCTATCTATCTATCTATCTATCTATCTATCTATCTATCTATCTATCTATCATCTATCATCTATCTACTTTAAATGGCAAAAAATCTGTGTAAAATGTCAACATACACAACTTTTTAATTAGAGGTGATGAAATTATGCCAAGATTCCGTTTATAGATAAAACTCTGCCTTTTATTTTGTTGTTTAACCACTCGTTAATAAAAAATATTTTTTCTTCAAAACATAATGTGAGTGGCATTATAAAGCAATGCCACTCACAAAATGGCGGTCACGTTTGGTGAGGTCTGACGCTCAAGCCTGGTTTTGTGCGTCTGTGTAAAGACCAGCCTTGAGGAAGCCAAGCAATATATAACCCCGGCTGGAGATGTTGTGTAACCACGTATATTGTGAGTGATTTTTCGTCGTTATTTGGTTTTTGTACGTAGGGTTTCTTCGAGGGGCGTCTTTTGTTTTAGTATTATTATCTTTATGATTAAAAGTTGAACCGTCGCCGAAGAGCAGTTGGTGAGGCGAACAGCTGATGATATGTTCTGTTAGCTTAGCCGGTTAGCACAGCCACATAAACAATGGAAGTCAATGAAATTATCTAACATTTATTTGTCCGTATTGCCATGTTTTTCCATTTCTCCACTACATAATATGGTTAGGGTCAGTCATAATAAAATATAAAAACCCGAAATGTCCTAATGACTCCCAAATATTTGAGATTTTGTCTTGAAATGATGAAAGCTAACGCTCATGCTAGGTAGTACCACCTATAGATACTACTCATTTAGGAAAATGTAATATCTAAGTCGCCTTAATATCGTTGAGTCGGATTTGTCATATGCATTTAAAGGATGCTGTTGTTTTATATTGGGTAATGTATGTTGTATCTCATTGGGTCTCTGTAGCTACATCATAATGCCTGCAGAAGATGGAGACCTCCAGGCATCCTCCTCCATCTCCAGTCCGGTTAGTGCTGCTCTCACCCCAGGACGTTTGGAGGAGGATGGATCTACAAAGGGACCTGCTGTCTGTGCTTTCCCAGAGAACAGTCAGGGTTCTGAGGCAGCTGCAGCTTTCCCTGCCAACACTGGACCCGGGGAGGGTAACAGTGGTAAGCTACTGAAAAAACCTGTCAACATAACTAAAACTAAGGTAATATTAACTGATATAATTCATCTACTGATACCTCTGGCACATTCAGCTGGCAAGCGGGCAGGAGCATTGCTGCAGATCAACCGTCAGCGAATCCAAGTGGCATCTGCCAGTTCTGGAGCAGACGAGCTCCAAGGTCTTGGTGTGGCTGTGTATGATCAGGATGTTCTCGAGCAAGGTGTTCTCCAGCAGGTGGATGAGGCGATCCATGAGGCAAATCAGGCTGCTGCCAAAGCCGAGGCTGAGAAGGAGTACCAATCAGTGCTAGATGATGTCAGGTAAATACATTTTTTTATAAATTGCCAGATTTGAATTTTATATGCTTTAAGAAGTATTAAGATTTTGCTTCTTTGCAACAAGTTATTTTACAGACAAAAGCAGTTATTTTAAATGCTTATGTGTTTTACACTAATATGTCATTAATCTATCCATCTATCTATCCGGTGGTAACGCTTATTTTTCTTGGGTTGTGTCACTCAGATCTGTTACAGCATCTTTAAAACACATCAACAAGATTATCGAGCAGCTATCCCCCTATGCTGCCTCTAGCAAGGATATTAGCAGGAAAATAGAGTCTGTAAAACGGCAGAAAGAAAATAAGGTAATATTGATTCAAACAATGATTCACAAAATAAGCGATCAATAACGGGGTTATGCAGTGACGCTAACAGATCAAATATGTGTTACAGGAGAAGCAGCTTAAAAAGGTCAAAGCAAAACAGAAGCGACTTCAGGCCATACTGGGAGGGGAGGACGTTCAGAGAGTTGAGGCTGAACTGCTGGCAGAAGATGATGGAGAGGAAGGTAATGTTTTTTGGGGTTATTTTGACATTGTGGTGCTTCCACACATGCTAAATAAACATGCTGTACATTCAGTCCTGACTTTTTATTCTTTTATCAAATTTTTTCTATTTTGAAACAAATGCATTGAATAGCACCAAGCAGGCAGATGAACTAAACAAGCACAAACATAAAATCCCATCTAGTTTACTGTTTTAATCTGTATAGCCTGGAATGTTTCTTTTCATAATTTTCTTTTATGATTGGAACATCTTTCTTTAGGTGTTTTTTTAGTTGCAGTTATCAGTATTCTAAACAGGTTTTTTACTTTATTTCTGTAAATACAAAAAGCTACCACCCTTTTTTTTTTTTTTTTTTTTTTTGTGAGGTAAATAAGCTATTTAGGTTTTTTTTTTTTTCTTGCCTTCTTCTGTCTACCTCACTGCAGTTTGATTCTTAATAAGATCTTAAGCACACTGTAAAACATAAAACAATTTACCCTGATCAGGCATTCTGGACGCAGCCGTGGACTTAAATTGGACTAATTTCTTCTTTTGCTCTGTTAAGTGTTTTTGTACAACAATATATCTTTTGGCTTTACTAGAGAGAACTAAAGCTGAAAAAAATCAGATTAATTGTGATTAATTGATTATTAAAATAATCGTCTACTTATTTAGTAATAGATTAATCATTAAATTGAGAATAGAGATTGTAAAATATGCCTTTAGCTGACAGAGCAACCTATTTAGAGCAGCAATTATACCAAAATTGTAAAAAACATTTAAACATTTTGCACTTAAGTTAAAGGAAATATTTTTGTCTGTCAATATGCTCTATCCAGAAGTCTTCATGTGGAAAAGTTTGAGTTTAACCTGGTTAAATTTATTAAATAATCTTCTTCAAGGCACCTTTGCCTATCCAATTATTAAGCGACTAAATGAAAAAAATATACAACAGATTAATCGATTTGCAAAATATTTTATAGTTGCAGCCCTAGAGAGAACAAAATTACACAAAGTTTGGCTTGGAAAGAAAAATAAAAAAAAAATGATATTGGACTATTTTATTGTCTTTTCTTTATGTCTCTGATGGGATAGTTGTTGAATTTTGTTCTCTGCTGTGTCATCCCTCATTTATATCGGACTTTGGAGCCTTTATGTTGTTGCTTTGTAGATTAGACAGAATGAACACCTTTTATCTAACACCAAATCTGAACCGCAGTTACGTAACAATTTAAAATGATCATATAATTAAAGAGTCTAAAGTGCAAGCAGTTATCGATGCACTATAGCTGGTGGCTTTGTGCAGCGTTCTCCAGAAACCTTGAGGCCTTACATCCAGGTGGATTTTATTTCGGGTACCACTCCCTGAAGCATTGCTCAGTCCCTCAGCATCCTTTCTAGTTAAATGGTTGAGGGATGTTATGAACAGCACAACTATAACTTAGAGGTGTTAATATTTCCTCAAATTTTCACCTGATCCCTATCCATTGAGTATTTTGGGGATTCGATTGCAACTAAAAAAAGGATCTGCTGTTAAAATATTGTTTTTAACTTGAAGTAGTTATGGGTGTATTATTGGAACATCTGCGCACTTTGTTATAATTGACAGGGATTTGGTTAAAGAAAACACTGGAGGATAGATTTGAAGTAAACGGAGTGTAACTTTTTGTATCTCTACATGTTTGTGTTTTTTTAGAAGCGGGACCGTCCACACTGGGCAGCATGCTCATGCCAGCACAGGAAACCGAATGGGAGGAACTCATCCGGAAAGGCCACATGACACCTTTTGGTACCCGGATACCACAGAAGGAGGTAAAGAAGGAGCCTCGGAAACTGATGCTGGCTGAGAACTCTGCGTTTGACCAGTACTTGGCGGACCAGGCCAAGTTGGCTACCGAACGGAAGAAGGTACCCCTTCTTAAGAAGAAGAAAAGTTCTGCACTCAGCCTTTATGAAGAGACCAAGGGTAAAACAGGAAAAACAGTTTCCTCATCCAAGGATAAAAAACTGAAGAAGCGCATGCGAAAGCTGCAAATAAATGCTTTGAGGACTCAACCTAAGGCTCAACCTAAGCCTGAACCAAAGCTTCCTAAGTCACGGAGGAAGAGATACACAGAGGGAGAGCAAACAGACAGCGAAGGGTCAGAGTACCTGCCCAGTGATGAAGGACTGGATTTGGACCAGGAGGAAAGGGATGCCATGGAAGAAGGCTTTGGGGATGATAATGATAATGATAATGATGAGTATGAACTAAAACCATACAAGAAAAAGGCTGTGGGGGCAGGAAGGAAGAGAATGAAGAAAAACGACAGTGAGGATGACTACTCCCCTGAGAGTTCAGATGATGACAGTGATAACAGGAGTAAATCCCAAAAACATAAAGACGATGGGGATGTGGAGTACTACAGGCAGCGAATAAGGTGAGATTTGTCAGAAACTCAAAGCTAGGCTTTATGCAAAGGTGCAAAAAGTTTTATCAGCTCCTGGTGTGCACACAGTCGCATCTCCAACCAACAAAAGATTGAGATTTGTTTTATTTTCCATCATATTTGTCTGGCAATTGTGTAAATGGGCTATTGTTCTTGACTTTGTTTAAGGTGAAAAGCAGTTGTTTAGTTTTTACTGGCTCTGTAGTGCTCAAGAAAGAGAGAGAGTTAATCCCAGATGAGATTGGCAGCTGTTTCTTGACTAAGCAAATTCACTCTCGGTTCTTCTTTTCTCTCTGCTCTTGCACTGGCCTAATTATCCTTCTGCACATGGTTTTATGCTCTCATTCACCCCGATGCTCAAATAAATGGAAGAGCAGCCCTAATGAGATTTCATATTTATAGCTGCCAAATAAATTGTGTTGGCACACGTATTTTTCTAGACTTCCAGCAACTAAATGTCAATACCAATGTGTACATATGCCATGGTGGGACTGGCTGGTGTGAAGAATGATATTATTAGAGTGGGCTTTATTTCTGGTTGGGGTGGGGTTGTGGAGTAGTGGCAGAAAAGTGTAATTAACTGAACCAATGCTTAGTCTTGACTTAATTAGAGAGCATGGTCTCCCAGGCCTAGCTAAAGGACCGGTTTTGTAACAGGGTGACAGGACCGGGCCCAAATGAAGATGGATTCTTATCCTCCACACCTCACACCTTTCTGGGGAACTCACACTGCTAATTGTCTATATCAATCTTCATTTGCTGCATGACGACTGTGCCTTTAACTGCCCTCTCCGCTGCAGTGTTAAAACTCTCCTACTTACATTATTTTGCGGTAAAATCTCCCCTGAGTTCTAAGGTAAATATTTGCAGCCTAAGAGCATGTAAGAAACATCCGCAGATGTGCAAAAGCATCGTGTAAATTATTCACTCTACGCATTTTATGAAACTAAAGTTACTCATACCCCTGTTAGTTAGTCATTCCTACGGGTGAAACAATTAGATTAATCGATTATTGAAATAATCATCACTAATTTAGTTATCGATTAATCGTTAACTGGAGTTTAGAGACTCTAAAACATGCCTTTAGCTGACAGAGCGATCCACTTAGAGCTGGAATTATACCAAGATTTAAAAAAAAAACAAATATTTAAACATTTTGCATTTAAGATAAAAATATTTTTTATCTGTCAATATGCTCTATACAGAACTCCTTAAATGGGAAAGTTTTATTTCACCTGGTTAAATTTAGCAAAAATCTTCTTTAAGGAACCTTTTGGTATCCGATTATTAATCAATTAATCAAAATAAAATTGACAGATTAATCAATTTGCCAAATACTAGTTAGTTCCCTAGTTGTTGCATCACTTTTCTGTTATAACAGCAAATTTCTGAGTGTGTTATTGGGATTTTTCTTAAGCAAATTTGGTGCTTTATATCCTTTGGAATAGTAATGATACAGCTTCTGTAGAACGTGGAGAATAAGTAGCCTTTTTTTTTGGAAGAAGGACTTGTTTGCCTTTTTTCTTCAAAGTCCTTTCAGGGATGCAATAATTGTTAAGCATATGGAACCTTGGTTAGATTGGACCAAATTTTTAGACTAGATGAAAATAAACACTACATACCATCCCCATTTGGAAACATTGTGATGATCACGATGTTCTTGATGGGACCAAAATACAGGATACAGTGGAGTAGTCAGTATCAAAGCTTATTTTGATGTCTAAATGACACAATAGTGTAGAAATGTAGAATTAAGAATTGATGTTCAAAATAAACAAAGAAAAAGGGAAAAAGTTTAGTTTCAACAGATACAGAGCTGTAGAGGGCTCAAAAGCTTCAACTGCAGCAAAAGGTGGTTCTGCAGAGTATTGATCCAAAATTGTGAAATTCAAATGCATGCTATAATTTTCAGTTTTATTCTAAAAAGTATGACATGCAATTTAAATAAAATACTGAAAAGAAGGTGTGTGTTATAAGGCAAACAAAAAATGCTTCAGCAAAGTTTAGATCATAAGATGATGTAATAAGATTTGATTGGGTTATTATTTATCTGAGCTGGCATCCAAACATTTCATTGATTTCTGTTGTTGTAGGAGATGGAAGCGGCAGCGGCTTCGAGAACGAGAGGCGAAACGAGAACGAGGGGAGGAGCTTACGGACGACAGCGATGCCGAATTTGATGAAGGCTTCAAAGTTCCTGGTTTCCTCTGGAAAAAACTCTACAAGTAGGTTCAATTTTAGGATTAAAAGTTAAGAGGACAATTAAGCAACAATCGCCAAAACACTTTAGCCAAGTGGAGAATACAGCTGTCAGTATATCCCTGTAAACCATCTGCTTATCTAATGTCATTGATGTGCTTTGTCCCGGAGCCCTCCCACTGCACGGTTGAGGGGATTTGTTAGTTATAACGAAAAAAAAAAAAAAAAAAAGACTTCTATATAGAGAATGTTTATATTTTGTCTGTCAATCCTTTAACATCTGTTAACTTGATCATCTTTGGCTCCTGTAACATATTGTTAATACCACTAGGTACCAGCAGACTGGTGTGCGGTGGATGTGGGAACTCCACTGTCAGCAGGCAGGAGGCATCCTGGGAGATGAGATGGGATTGGGCAAAACCATCCAGGTCATCAGCTTTCTGGCAGGACTAAGCTACAGTAAACTGAGGACTAGAGGGTCCAACTACAGGTACAGACACATACACACACACACTTACACAAATAAACTGTGTCCAGAGACTGTGTGTCTGTATGGTATGAATATTTGATCAGGAGGATTTCTGCTTGAGAGTGTTCGTCTGAATTATTAAACGTGTTTCAATTATCAGACTCCTCACTTTCTTACTGCAGACATGAGAGGAAACACTTACACTCTGTTTGTGTGTTTGAGGAAGAGCGTTAGTGTGTTCCTGGGCTCCAAAAATGAATCTTTGACTCATGAAATGTGAGTAGGATAGGCAGGTGATGGCTAATCAACCACAGAAAGCATGGGGTATCATTGGAGAAGAAGGCTTTTTACTGCAGGAACGACACTTTGCGCCTTCAAGAGGTGGACTTTCCCAGATGGTCAATATTGTTTCTGCTATAGACGCCCACAAATTGATTGTTTGCAAACTCAATTATGGCCCAGTATCAATAGCTTCCACCAGGCAGAGGCTCATTCCAGTCCATTAGCACATGTTTGTGTGTGTTTGACAGTGGTATCGCTAATCTGCACAGAGGAGCTGAGGATCTCTCCCATTAATTTCTTTGATTGAAGACGCAGTTGGAGAAAACTTTGTATGCCTATTCCTTTAAGAACTTTAAAGTTCAGCGCCAGCCAAGCACATTTTCAGTCTTATTTTTCCCTGTCTTGATCACCTGTCTGGACTGAAACATTTTTGGTTGCAGATACGTCGGTTTAGGTCCAACAGTGATTGTGTGCCCAGCTACGGTCATGCACCAGTGGGTGAAGGAGTTCCACACCTGGTGGCCTCCTTTCAGAGTGGCTGTCCTGCATGAAACTGGCTCTTTCACCAGCAAAAAGGTAATGTTTTTTTGTTTGTTTTTTAAGAGTATTAGTGGTAATACAGACTCAAGTAAAGGATATCCTCTGGGAGGCACTAGAGATCTGTATGTAGAGCGTTGGTTCTTCTTTCTGGTGCTCACAGTTACTCACAGTACGAATGGGCTATTCCAGTCCCTGGGGGCTGTTATCCTGAAATTGTTAGGTCCATCCTGTTTTACCCTTGGTCCCTTATTCAACACACCTGAATCAAATGGCTGAGTTACCTCCTCAGCATGCAGTCAGTTCCTCTAGAGCTCTCTCAATTATCTAATTACTTTATTCAGGTGTGTTGAATCCTAAGGCGTATCAAAAAGTTGCAGGATACTGGCCCTGAGGAACTGGTCTAAATTGTAAAATGAGGTGCAGAGAGAAACATTGATTTTACTTCTGTGATACAGGAAAAGCTGATTCCAGAAATAGCAGCATGTCATGGGATCCTGATCACCTCCTATTCAGCTGTGAGAAATTTACAAGACGTGTTACAGCGCTACGACTGGCACTATGTTATACTGGACGAGGGCCACAAGATCAGGAATCCAAATGCCGGCGTCACTGTCGCCTGCAAACAGGTATTGTTTACACAGGATAACAAGGATGGACAAGTTCTTGCAGGAAATACAACTTTATTATTTGTTTGGCGTTTCAGTCTTGTGTAAGTCATACCCAAAGTTGCTTGTTTTTTCTGAAAAAGAGGCGGTTGGCATGACCAACGGTGCCATAGATTAGATGAAGGTATGTTTCAAATGTGTTTATCTTCCTAGTATAATTAAAATATATCAGTTGCAGAAAATTGGGACCAAGTTTGCTCCTCAGTGGGGTCCCATTTCTGCAATAACACTTTCTTCATGTTCTAAACAAGCTCACTGAACAGATGGATCTGCTCCACCAGTCAATAAACTCACTGATCATTACATTATCAAATACAGTTTAAAAATTAATATTTCTTCCCCTATTCTGTGCGCTTATTGCTTTTAATTTTTACTCTCATTACTGCCTTTTGGTTTATTTGACTTTATTTAATTTAAGACTGAATAAAAGGGAAAAAAAATACAAAATAATTCGTTCAAATAGCTTCAAGGGAAGCATTGAGAACCGGAAACTAGAGAATGATCCCGAAATTAGCACTTACACTGAAACCCTATTACACTTTTAGCTTCAAACTAAACTATCTTGAGGCTCATTCAATAATGTGTGCCCCTTTTTAATAAAGAGTTTGTTTTTTTTTGTTTTGTTTTTTGACTATTGAACTTTGTTGTTGCCTATTGGTCAGGATGTGGTTAAAAAAAGAGGGTTGTGATCTCATTGGGACCAACCTGGCGAAATAAAAAGAAAAGAAAAGAAATACCAAGATGGCTTCAGGGCTACAGGACATTAAGGAAATCTACAGATTATAAACCTATTTTCTTCTCTTTTGTCTGTACTTCCATCTCACCCAGTTATTTTTAGCATTTTTATCCAAGTCATTATTGTCCAGTGAGAGCACTTGCTGCTGTCAGACTCAACCCAAATAGCTGAATATTACATTAGCACTTTTTATTGAAAGTTTAGAACACTTGAAGATACCAGCCTATAATTATTACACTCTTATCAGTTACTGCATACACTGATGCTGCAGTGATGATATGTTTTTGGCAAATTGTCCGGCAGCAGGGCAACACATTGGTCAGTGTTGATTTTATGTCCTAATTGTCTCATTCAATAAAGGCATTTAATATGTATACTTTCAGACTCCAATAATGTGAATCATTTAAAGTTGTGCTGATGTGAAAGAGTAACTTGTCTTGTGAAGTTCTTAGCCAATAATTCTGGTGCTTATGTGTGGTCTTATACACTTGTTTTCTTTCTTCTAGTTTCGTACTCCTCACAGGTTCATCCTGTCTGGCTCACCAATGCAGAACAACTTGAAGGAGCTGTGGTCTCTCTTTGACTTCGTTTTCCCTGGCAAACTAGGGACACTTCCTGTCTTTATGGAGCAGTTTTCTGTGCCAATAACTATGGGAGGGTACAGCAATGCATCACCTGTCCAGGTATATATCCCACTGCATAAAGGTGGTCTGTCAGGCTTTTAAATCACTTTAAATTGAGCTAATGTATTAGCCCAAGTTAATAATTTGTACAAATGCATTTCTGCACACTTCTGCGTAGTTAGACTGAAGCAGGTCAGAAGGAAGGAAAGGGGAGCAACAGAACCATTAAGCTTGGATAATGTAGGTCTGTGCAAAGGAACTTCAGTCCTTCCCTAATGTGTGAGATTGGAAGAGGATAAAGTAAAGAGCTAAATTGTAGCTCTTTGTCATTAGCGTCTTATCGTTAATAACCCACTGACTGTATAGATTTAATTATTTAAGATGGCTATTGATGCTCCTTCCGCTGTCGATAATAAAAACCTTTACTAATTATTAATGTTATTAAATGGTCAGAGGGCAAAGCTCTGCTGCCTTATCCTGTTTTCAAAAGTCACAAAGCAGCAGAGCGCCTACTCTGAGGGTTCATACAAGGCACGTATGTACAGACAGATGTGCGTGAAAACATATGTGTTTGGGGTGGGACTTGATGAGCGTGTGGAAATTGGATCCATTATCGAAGCGTTTACTTGCGGCCCCATGTGAATCCACTCAGCAGCTTATGCTGAGATCGCTAGATCCTCTACTGCCCTCCTCTGATTTTTTTTTTCCAACTCTGACCTCCATTTAGCTCTGGATCCCTCCTTTTTATTTTCCCCTTCAGCATTGCCAATGGTGTCTTTGATCCCCCTGTGGACCCCAAGTGAGTTAATGTTTAAAAGGCTAACTGGCTTTTAGCGCTAGCTGTAGATAAAGTGTAGCAGAAGGTTTTACAGCAGGGGTTCCTGGGGATGAAACCAAAAGAAACTACCCTTCTGTTTCCAATACAGTTGATCAGTCCTATGGATAAAAGAGAGACTGAGAATAAAGGCGCTCTGATCAATGTTTAATGGCCACCCCAAGGTGGACAGTGAAGTGAGGAGGGAGAAGAGATAAACAAGCCCAAGAAGCAATAAAGTCTGAGACTTTGCATGCTTTCAGTTATGTTCTTTATTTATAATATTTGCCTGTTGTCATTTTCTAGGTCCAAACGGCGTTCAAATGTGCCTGTGTGCTGAGAGATACAATCAATCCTTACCTGCTCAGAAGAATGAAGGATGACGTCAAGGCCAACCTCTCCTTACCTGACAAAAACGAACAAGTAATCCTCAAATTTCAATCATCTGCACTATGCAGGTCTTCCTTTGGTGTGGTGCAAGTCTTTGGGACCTATCTGCAAAGCGCCTGATGGTTGTGTATGGCTCCTGTCAGGTGAAGCCAGCTAATAAAGTCTCTATAAAGTAAAAGGAGTTGGCATTCATTAAAGTGGCTGGTCTCTGGTCTGTCCTCGTGGCTGATGCTGGTTGACTCCTCAGTCCACTTCAGCTCATTAAATCAGTCCCACAGGAAGGTGTTTTCTTTAGAAAAAATCACATTGCTTCCCCGCTAATTTCTCCTCTTACTCCCTCCCTTCATCTGGGGGCTTTAAAGTGGATGTTCACTGACCATTACTCTGTCCTTTATGTGTTATGTGTAGGTGCTGTTTTGCAGATTAACAGAGGAGCAGCGGCAAGTTTATCAGAGCTTCTTAGATTCCAAAGAAGTGTATCAAATATTGAATGGTGACATGCAGGTAAGACTCACTTAAAATTTCACACAATCTAACATATAATTTAACATAAAAGAAAATTCACACAATTTGACATGTAATTGTGGTTTTCCAAACTCCCTTTCACAAACACACAAAAAAAATTTAGTAAGTAGTTTGTCTTTACATTGAAAATATATGACAGGGATTTCTAGTTATGTAGAATAAACATTAGTCTAGAAACTGAGAGACAAAATAAAAAACTGATTGAACATAGAATGATGGTTTAATTTTTCCAACTGTTAGGCAATAATTCTTTACTACCACTCAGCCTAATGTTGATATTCTGTTCAAAATGTTTTTGTTGTTGTTTTTTAAAGGAAAAAGCTTGATTATGTAGATACCTTAGGATTTGATCTTACTTTGCATAACCAGGGTAATAAAAAAAAATTGAATATTTTGTATTTTTGTTCGTATATATGCACCAACCAGGCTTTTATTTTTTGGTTTCTCTTTGAGATGCTGAATGCTACTCAACAAAAAGATACCTCAAAATTCGTCTCATCAATCAATGATCCATTTAAGGGCATCCGTTTTAGAAAATATAGAAATATATTTTATTGTAATTCACTATTTTCAGGTGTTTCAATGAAAACGTTATTTTTTTCTTTAAATACCGTAATTTAATATCACAAAGCTTGTATTGAGAATTAATATAAATATTAATGACCTCATAAGGGGATTGCTTTTCATACAGACCATTTTGAGCACACTTTAGCTAAGAGGTGGAGAAAGGAAGATAGATGGAGGTGAAAGGATTTGTTTCATTTGTCAAACTAATAACCAGGCTTCAGAACACATAAGACTGTTACAAGAATGTTTATAATTTGAATTTTTCAGGATGTGAGACCTTAAAAGGCTAAAGTTGTTTTAAACAAATATAAATTTACAAAAGTTTTAAGAAGTTTAAATATTTTGTCTTGATTATGAGTAATTTGTGGGTTTTTTTCTTTTTTACTCCCACACTGCAAAAAAGAATAAATTAGTAACAAAGATTGATGGGTGCATAAATGGTAAATGGGTATGGACTGTGAAAATTAGCAGCGGGGGAGAGAGAAGAAAAATCCACATGGATCTTACACCGATAAGCTCTTTATTAGTATTTTTTAAGATCTCACCAAGAAGGTGTGCAGGTTTTCTTATATTAGTTAGCCTCATGAAGGAGATGCAACTATTTATCACCACTGACCAAATGGAAATGGTTGAAGAGCCATGGGTGACCAGATTGTTTGCACACTCATACAAAGACACACACACTCCTATAGATGTATTCAGTGGTCACTGTCAGTCCATTATCCACCATTACTAATGCAGTGACCACTGGGCCCTCATCAGGAAACAGCCTTTATTAGCCGTAAATAAATTATGTAATTTATTCCTGTTGACTAAAGTAAATGTGCTTATTTGTTTAAAAGTGTGGCATGGTATAATGCCTTGAAATTAACAGTTTTGCTGCTTTTTAGGTTTTTCCTGGTCTGATTGCACTGCGCAAGATCTGCAACCATCCGGACCTTTTCTCTGGTGGGCCCCGGATCCTGAAGGGAATACCAGAGGATCAGCTCACAGAGGAGGAACACTTTGGCTTTTGGAAACGATCAGGGAAGTTGGTGGTGGTGGAGTCGCTGCTGCGTCTCTGGTTCAAACAGGGTCACCGTGTCCTGCTCTTCACTCAGTCCAGACAGGTAAGAAATCGGGAGTAGAAAAGTTTCCACAGTCTGACTTGATTTACATTTTCTTACTAAAGATGATTCCATCCATCTGTCAATTTACATTTGTTTATGTTTATAGTCATTGACCACATTAAAAGCTTTTAGCTTCATAATTTCTTCAAAACGTATATAAATATATAAAATTGTTGAACAATTTTCTCAGAAGTCAAATTAATCGGTTTATTTATTTATTATCATATATAAAGATACGTGTTAGATTGTGATGTCATGTTTCCTTCTGCTGCAATTGTTTGGAGACAGAGGAAGTGTGTAGATGTGACAGAGGCCCCAGCTGTTGCAGTCAATACCAATGAGATTATACCTCAGAGGGAACCTGAGACCCTCCCTGTCGGCATCTTTGTCCATGTAATATTAATCTGCTCTAATCCTTTTAGTGCTAATCCAGACCCCCGCCCCTTGTTTCCCCCAGCCTCCTCGTCTTCTTTTTCCTCCTCGGCTTTCTGTTGTCTTATGATCTTCCTCATTTGCAGATGCTGGACATCCTGGAGGTTTTTGTAAGGGAGAAGGACTACTCCTACCTGAAAATGGACGGCACGACCGCGATAGCTTCCAGACAGCCGCTCATTGCTCGCTACAACGAGGTAAGGATTAGCCTTCTCTAATGGCTCAGAGTGTTTCCCATGAAAATCTAGTCCCTGGGGACACAATGCTTCAGAGAATCACTGTTCAGCCTGAGGTGGAGACACTAATTGATGGCAATCTGTTTTGTTCAGAGTGGAAGTTTTTCTCTTTAATCTGTCTGCGATTAGTGGAAATATCACTTTGCAGTGCATATTTTTCTTTGTAGAAACTTAGGAAATGTGTTTTTATTAAGTATTTAGAATAGAGGCACTAACATGTTTCATTTAATCCAAAAGTTGAATCTGAAAAAACTTGTCCATCTGAATATGTATAAAAATCTGCTGAAATGCTGCTTATAAACCACTGACATTTGAGCCCGGTCTGTCTTTGTTTCAGGACAAATCCATTTTTATCTTCCTGCTGACCACTAAAGTTGGTGGTCTGGGAGTCAATCTAACTGGAGCCAACAGAGTTATCATATATGATCCGGACTGGAACCCAAGTACAGACACACAGGTTAGTCTTCAAATAAAACACTTGAGTGACTTTATATAGCTCTACAAAATCTGTCTTGCTTCTTGAACTTTTTTTCTCACAAATGAAACCATCCATTCACCGTCTCCCGCTTAAAACATCAGAGTAGCAATTGGGCCAGTGCCCCATCTCTGGCAGTGTATGGGTGAGAGGAGGGGTACATGGACTCTCCATGTACTTGAATACATGGAGAGAACCCACAAATGCACCAGAAAAACATGCAATCTCGATGCAGAAAGACCCTGATTTATTTTATTTTATTGGTAAATTTTGTACATATATCTAACATTTATATTTAAAAAGTCCTCTTAAAAATTCTATGCATATAATTGATAATTTACCCATTCCAAACAAATTCCTTCAAAAGGCAAATAATTGGTACATAAAGTGTGTAGGTTAGTAATTTAACCTCTGCTGTTCTCAGGAGACATCAGAGGTTTTTCTTAAATTTTTTCGAACATTAAAAAACTAATGCCTTCATTAAGACAAAGGAACACAACAAACAGGTTTGAGGTGAAGTTCTGTAGATATTTAAAGCTGTTATAGTTTATAAAGCCACATCCAAGGTAGGGAAATTTTTTTTACGAGGCACTGTAAATCCTCCCCCCATTCAAATTATGAATTATCAGGGTCTAGATGTAAGACTGGTACAGACAACATTTCTTAAAGGCATACTTTAAGATCTGTTTAACATTGGACCTTTTCTGTTTCGTTTATTTTAAAAGCTTAAGTGTTTTTTGTCCTTTCTTAGTTGCTGCTCTTTATTTAGTCTTTCCTTTATTCACGCTGACTGTCTACTTCAATGTGTTTCATTGTTTAAAGGCTCGAGAGCGAGCGTGGAGGATCGGTCAAAAGCAGCAAGTAACCATCTACAGGCTGCTGACTGCAGGGACCATTGAGGAAAAAATCTACCACAGGTAATTGAACAGCTTCTGTATACACAAGATATGAACTCACAGAAAACCAGAGATTCAAGCATATTTTTGGGGTTTTGCTTTCTCTCCATCTACCTTTGAGAGTCCTGTATGTTGTTAACTGCTTACACCAATGCAGTTTTAGTATTTCTGCTGTCCCACTTCTCTGTAATTGAAAAGCTTTCCTGCAATATTAAATGGCCAATTGAGGAGTCGGAAACTGTTGCTGTGTTTGGTTGGTGTCGGTGGAGCGCTCCTGAAAAAGCAGATTGGAGAGCTGCAGGGATTCTATTTTGATACCTGCAGCAGTGAAGTTATTTAATTTTCTCATCCATCAGCCAAACTACTCTGCGGTGACATGATGGAAATTGCCTGCTGAGTTAAAAAGGAAAAACTAATTAGATACAAGTGTCTAATTCTGTATTATATCTGTTGCCATCCAGGCAAATCTTCAAGCAGTTTCTCACCAATCGCGTTCTGAAGGATCCCAAACAAAGACGGTTCTTCAAGTCTAATGACATCTATGAGCTCTTCACTTTGGCTGATCCTGATGGATCTCAGGGGACAGAGACCAGTGCCATATTTGCAGGTTTGTCTGTTCTCTCTTTTTTTTTTATCAGAGAATGGTTTTAAGGTGCTTTTTAATCCCAAATCTGTGTAAAACTAACTATAAATTCATTTAAACGGCATCAAAGTAGTAATTTATTCAGTTATTTTACTGAAAAAGGGGGGAACATTTTGTATACATTCATGGGAAAGTTCAGATTCATCACTGTTAAATGTTTGAGTTTCCATTTCTAAACTTATTTACCAGAATAAATAAACTGTGATATTCTGTTTAATGGGGATACAGCTGTAAAAATCCTGTAAATAAGATTGAAAAGCAAAATTGAAGTTAAACTTTTCTCTTCAAACAGGCACTGGATCTGATGTCAAAGTACCCAAGAAACCTGACAGGTTAAAGGCATCGGCCTGCATAAACAAAGTCAGCCGTGATTATACAAAGTCCTCAGGAAAACAGGTTGAAAACAGGGAAATCCCTGCCTTAAGAGACTGCAGCTTATCCCTATCCAGTGGGAACCTTCCGGGTAAATCTAACGCTCCAATGGACAGTCGGAGCACAAATCAAAATTTAGAATTGAATGATTCGACAAACATGCCTCTGGTAAAAGACAATAACAACTCGGATCCAGTTGAGAAGGCAAACAAAAGCCTGAGCTCGGCTAGCTATCAGCAGCACAGAGACAAAGGAAAGCACAGGGAAAAGAGAAAGCACTGTGACTCCGCCGATGTGGACAAACGCAAACATAAAAAACACAAGCGCTCCTGGGATGCTCGGTTCGAAGGCCACCGCATCTCACATCTGGTGAAGAAACGCACTTACAAAAAAGAAGAAAGCGAAGAGAATTCAACAGAAGACCAGAGAAAATCGGATGATTACGTCTTGGCAAAGCTCTTCAGGAAATCTGGTAAGATTCAGTTTGCAAACTCTGCATTCATATAATATCAGCTGTTAGATTTGTTTCTCTTCTTTGTTGTTCATCCTGTGGTCTTGCCTAGGTATACACAGTGTGATGCAACATGACACCATCATGCAGTCTTCCAACCCTGACTATGTTCTTGTGGAAGCTGAAGCCAACAGGGTGGCCAAAGATGCCCTGAAAGCGCTCAAGATTTCTCGGCAGCGTTGCAGGCTGCCTTTTGATAGACCTCCAGATCCACCTGCGAAGTACATTGTTCTCACATATGATCATTTTATAAAGGAGATTTTGTTGTTCCATTTAAAACCAACAGTAGTTTATTTTTCTCTGTATCAGGAAACGTTTTGGACAGAAGAAGAATCCTCTTTTACTTACGCGTTCTGCTCCATCTGCACCCCCTCCTATTAAATGCAAGGTAACAGCATCACACCTCTAGGTCATTTGATATTTCTCAGATTTGTAAAGATGCGTGTTTGATTGAGTATTTCTTGTTTGTAGGATGCCGCTATCGTGAAGATGCCTGTTTCAAAGAAACCAAGTGCAGGACTTCATTTTAGTGGGGAAGGGGCAGATGACGATTCAAACTCAGCTCCACTGTCGTCTGCTTCCCTGCTGGCCAAGATCAAAGCTCGAAACCATATCTCTAAGCTCTCCTCTCAGGGAACAGCAGCAGAGGAAGATGAGGAGGAGGAGGTAAATGGCCTCGGAGCTTCAGGAACAAGCACCCCTCCTGCTCCTCCAACAGAGCACGACGAGCTGTTAGTGGATCTGCGCAACTTTGTAGCCTTCCAGGCCAATGTGGACGGCGAGGCCACCACGCAGGAAGTCCTGGAGTATTTCAAACCAAGACTGAGCCAGAAACAGGCCCCCGTCTTCAGAGAGCTGCTCAGGAGCATCTGTGACTTCCATCGGACCTCCGGTCAGGAGGGCATCTGGAGACTGAAGGAGCACTTCCGCTGAAAGAAACAGCAAAACTACCAAGAAAAACAAAACGTTCACCTCCAAGTCTCTTATACCGAAAGCTTTATTTTATGTTTTAATTTGTGAAAATACACTCCAAACCTAATTCAGCAACTTTTCAATGGTGCTTTAAGGACTATTTCTAGGAAAGCATGTTTACTGTACAAACATGAAATGGTTAAAGTGAAGTTTTGGCATTGTTATACTCGTCTCCATGTCTTCATGTTTATTTAAAGCAGATTTATTTTTAATCTGTTTATCCTTGAATCTGTTTCTGTTCATTTGTCAAACTATAATACCTCATTCACTTTCAGGTTAATTGTTTCCACTTGAACCAGCCTACCTTTAAAAGATTTGTGATATTTTATATTAAAGCTATTTTGTGCAACTTTATGAATATCGCTATACTGTAGGTTTCTGGGGACCTTTCTAATGACTGACGCATCTATCTGTGTACATAAATGGACCTTATTTTGCCTGAATGGGTTTAGGCACCTACTTTGTTGTGATAAAAATTTAACATTATGTTTGCCACTGTCTTTCACTTGAAATAAAGTCAGTGTCTTTTCTTGCATTTTTTTGTGGATTCAATTTATAAGTTTCCCTTTACAAAATCAAAGAGGCCTTATTATACTTAAATTCCTTCATAATATTGATTGTTAGAGTAACTAACTGGCCTGTTTTAAAGTGATTGATATTGGCTAGCTAACAGAAGAAAAAACTTCCGGTTTGATCTATGGAGCAAGTTTTTTCTAAGTCTGATACTTCTTTTTTCAGGCTACTACAATTTAAATGTACATACAACTGACTTTCTTGGCTCTGGCTTGTCACTTTACTGGTTTTGCTTATTAGATACCATAAGTGGCAGCGCATAGCCAACTTTTCTAAATTTGTGTTTTTTTTTTAGGTCTGACTTAGATTTTGTAACTTGACCTTCTAGATGGCAATGGTAGTAAATAAAATCAAAGATTTTGATTTAATTCTTTCAATTTGTGTGAACAAGGTAAATGTTTAATACCAATCATGATGAGACCTTAAATTTAGCAAACAGGAAAAAAAACAAAAAAAAACAATGGAAGAGGCACTTAAAATATAACCAAATTAAATATAAGATCAATTCAATTTTGATATGTTAAAGACTAAAGTCAAAAATCTAGATTATCAGTGATTACATTGAGTCAATGATTTGATGCAATCAGAAACTTAAACCAGACTGACTGCTTGATTTGGCTAATTTGTCTGAGTATAGTGTCGTGAGATGATGTGAGGCGTGAATTGCCTCTATATAAACAAACTGAATTATTACATTTAAAACAGACCTGGAAATATAATATGGATGACTCTGTGCCCTTTAGCCTTTGGCACCTTCAGTTGTTAGCCCTCCCATCCATCCCCTGGTTGTGGTGCTGACCAGGGTGCTGAATTCTTCTAAATATCTGAAGAAAACAGGTGCAGCTTCAAAAGCACGACATCGAAAACATGAACAACAAACTGATAAGCTTGTCTCTGTCTCCTAAAACGATATGTGGTATAATTCTCCATGGCACTTGAGCAGGAAAAACATTTTTTTTTTATTCTGTCAATGGAAAACCAAAACATATCCAGATCAAATATCCTTCTCAGGTTTGTAAATAACTTGACGGATGTTGAATTATTTCCCTATAGTTCTATCCAAGCAAAATACTATCTTAATTCCTTAACCAAAGGGAGAAAATCGATGCTGTACATGATTTATTTAGAAAAAAAAAAAAACTAAATTAAGTATTAAGCAAAAAACTGCATGCCAAAAGCAAGGAATGTACAAATGTAGCTATACATTGCATTTTCAATGTATGAGGGAAAATTTGGAAATAGTTTTTGATGACTAAAAACCATAAATCCCATTTACTAAACTGGCACATTACCAGAAGAAAACTGTGAAAGTGCAGGAGATACCACCCTGGCTATGATGCCCTGGGCGGTGAGCCATAGTAAGGATCTTTCCCAGATCTAGGTGCTGAAATGTCCAAAATAACAACAAGAATAAAACCCAAAAGTGGTTTGTAGAGTACAGGTCCAAATGCCGCACACTGAAGCAATGACACTGCCTCTGCCTGGTGAGGTGGAGATCTGTCGCTCCTGAGTATCCAGAGGATCCAGAGGAAAGTCATTCACCTTTTAGGTCTGAACTCCTGTCAGAGTTGTCTAGACCAAATCTTAGGATAAAGTTATCAACTGTTATTTGATTTCAATTTTCTCCACGTACTTCACCGAGGTCATAATAACAACTTTATTTTCAGTGGTGCATAAATTAATTACGCGCATTTAATAACTAAAATATCATTATATTCCCCCTTTAATAACATAAACGCTGCACGCCAGGGAAACCCTTAATAGCGCGGGGCCCTGTAACTGGCCATTATCCGCCTGTAATGATATTACAGAACCAATTACGCGCCATTAGAAGGGATTTTCTGCACTTTATGTGGTTTAGTCCAATCCCGCACTCCTCTTCTAAATTTCAGCTGCTTCTCGAAGCCTCATTTTGCCTCCACCTCAGAGACGCATGGCGTCTGCGCTCTGGCGTCCCAGAAGCGCTTTAAAACTAATTGAAAGGGTCCCGCAGCAGATCATTTATCTGAGGAAGCGAAATAAATCGCGGGACCCCTTGCTGTGAACAAAATCAAAAATTTGGCCTTGTGAGTGCTCTACATGCGCAAGCCCTTGTAAAGTGGACCCCCTAACACACCCTGACGAGCAATTAACCCGCCCGACAGTCAATCTAAAACCCAAAAGCAGTCATCCTCCTTTTTTTAATATATGAAAGAACCAAATAAAAAAGTGCAGCGGTATGTGTGCATGTTTATGGTCAGGGAATATGCCTCACTCTGAAATAACAATCACTTGTGATGAATTTTTTAGGCACCTTGGGTATGTCTCTCTCCTCTTCTTTTATTTCTGTCTATCCACACACAGCATAAATACACACACACACACACCAGGGGTTCGGGGTTAGAGAGACAAAGCCGTGATAATCCGATTAGGACCAATTAGGCGTGAGATTCTGCGACACTAGCTGAAAGCCTTAACACTGTGTAGACAGTTATACAGTCATATAGACATCTGGACACTCCCAGAGAGAGAGAGAGAGAGAGAGTGTGTGTGTGTATGTTGGAAAAAGAGAGAAAAGAGCAGGAAGGATCTGGACACTCCCAAGCAGAGAGTCAGTGAGAGCGCAGCATCAGCCGCTTCTCTCCAGAGCGCAAACTCACTCTCATCAGCATCTTCCTTTACTTGCAGGTAGGATGGGCGCAGGTCTCAGCTCTGAAGCCTCCTCCGCCGTTTTGTATTGATCTGCAGCAACATAAGACTAATAGTTGCCACTGAGCACATCTGAGGGGAGGCTGAAACTTTTCCCCCCCTCTGTGTTTCAGGTTCCGAGACGCGCCATCAAGGATGTTCTACTTCCATTGCCCGCCTCAACTTGACGGAGAGTGCTGTCGCTCCAACACGCGTGAGTTTTTCCTTCTCTTGTGTCTTTTTTTTTTTTTTTTTTAACATTTTTGTGCCAATTTTGCACAACGTTAAAACATTGCTTTGGTTTTAAAAGCTCTGAAAGAAGTTTATTAATCTTGGAGGCATTGCGCACAAAGTGTTTTCAGAAAACAGGCCATCTATATTTTCATCTATATTAATAGTTATGTAAAGGCTGCTAAAGTCCTGCTGAAATGTGTTGTTTCTCAGCAATATTTTTATTCCTAATTCTATAAGCAATTCCACGCGTAAGATTTAGGCCTATTAGAAAAAATGGTTAAATAACAATGTCAACGATTTTAAATAAAGCAATAGCCTTAATATGTTCCTTCACAAATCTAAAGTAGATATAAAGGGTTTAATGTGATTTCCTCTCTCTGCTTGTGGCACTTTGTTGGCTGCGTTGGTGAGAAGCGCTGGTGGTTTGCCCCCGGGGCAGAGGGGCCCGCTTTGTCCCGAGCACAGATGTTGGGTGTCATGGCTCTTAGTTCGTCATGGTTCCCTTTAGACCTTCTGCGTAAATGTTTCATGAAACAAATGGAAACAAAATATGACCAGTTGGTCAATTTGTATGGGCCTTCTTCTTTTATTATTCAAAACAAACACATGTCCTTGCCTCATGGTTTGTTTGCATCAACGCGTAAAATTCAAAGGTTAATTAAAACAGTTTTATCAGTAAAATTGGAAAGATTGATAATTTCTTTTGTTTTGTTTTTTTCATCTTATTTTATTTAATATTTTTAGTTAATTCAGGCGGATTTGGAAACCACGCCCCGGCTGATTTCGATGATGGATTTCTGCGGAGGAAGCAGCGCAGAAACAGAACAACATTCACTTTACAACAGGTAACTTGTTATTTTCCAAACCTTAGCAGGACACATCTAGGCCTGCATTAAGAAATGTGGGGAAAAAATACAACAGTTGATTGCATTTAGGCCTAAAATCAGGCAAAAGTTTGCTCTTTTTTTTTCTTCAAGATTTGAAATATTCTGTAAATTAATTAAGACGAAAAAAACTGATATAGTCCAGCTGAATAATGAGAAAGCGAGCTTACCTTTGAACTTTTAAAGAAAGAAAGAAAGAAAGAAAGAAAGAAAGAAAGAAAGAAAGAAAGAAAGAAAGAAAGAAAGAAAGAAAGAAAGAAAGAAAGAAAGAAAAAGCAAACCTATGATGATTAGGTTTGTTAGTAACAGTGAACTGAAAGTTGTGTCCAACCTTATTTTGTGTCCCTGCAGTTGGAGGCTTTGGAGGCCGTCTTTGCACAGACTCATTACCCGGACGTGTTCACCCGGGAGGAGCTGGCCATGAAAATCAACCTAACCGAGGCCAGGGTGCAGGTGAGCCGCATGCAGCGCGCACTGCGTCCTGTCATCGGGCACTTTTGCCCAGGCAAGGGAGGGGAGAGTAAATGAAGCCACTCTGTCATCCCAAAGATACACTTTAATAACATAAACGTAATGGTGAATATTAGATTAGCTTGATTAATCGGTCATTCATAATTAAGCAGCGATAATGTGCTGCACTAATTTGTCCGTGTCTGCATAGGCAGAAATACATCATCCATACAGATCCGGTGACGCACACCGGATCTCTGTGTCTGCTTTTTTTGTTTTATTATTTTTTGGGTTTTAAGAGGTGAAAAAAAGTCAGAATCGACCAAAAATCTTTCTGACTCTGTCCCACAATCACGTCTTAAAATGTAGGCATTGATATTCGGCTCCTGCCCTGCACATGTGCGCGGTTATAAACTTGGCCAGATGTAATTAGGTTAGGCGTCCTGTATGTAATTTCCCTGCATTCCAGATTTGCTTTTGGGTTTTGTTGTGCGCAGCAGATCTAATTGTAAGAAATATAATAGTTTGGCTTTTTGTTCCCCAGGGTCATCTTTACTATCGCTTAAACCCAATGGTGGAGCTTGATAATGGAATCCAGCGCTGTAAATTAGGGATTGTAAACAAATTATTCCCCCTCCTAATCCGATTACCGCATTCCTATTATTAAATCTGAACATGAATCCACCGCACTATGCAGGGGATATTAAACTTACATTA